TAACTTCCAAACTATATAATGGCTCAAACTTGTTCAGCTTGCAACACGTGCGCTAATCTCAAAAGTGATTTTTCCATTCTATTAACAAGTTGCAAAGGCAACAAATGCATCAATCACGTTCACGTGTTCATTAATAATCCGCCAAGACATGCAGCAGGTAACAACAAGCATACAATTCACATCACATGGTGCATTAATAAGAAGAATCGCGCTTTATTGAGCTACTAAACGCTTCTATATGAGCGCGGAAACCGATCAGCAATCATTCGTATTAACTGAATATGGAGGCAAGGGATTGAGCAGTTGGGAATGAATCCATGGAAGAAATTTCCATTTAGGGTTTAATCAGTTGAAACTCGCAATAATTCAGCCCAAATGTATATGAGGGCGTATCACTCAACCATTACTAGACTTCGACTATTTAATTAAGTTGTCAACGATCCCCCGCAGATGCTTTAAGTAGAAAATGCGAGCTAATCACAAAAAACAATTACTTTTCCAACCAATTTCAGTCAATAACGGTTCAAAGACAAAAACCATTTGAAATTTCATTAAGTTTTCACATCCAGAGCCGGTCAGGCACCGTTCCCAGAATGTCATAATAATAATAATGGTTATATAAGAAACCTGAATTAATATGCATAAAATGAGATAACGGGACGGACAGCACCGATAAAAAAACAACATATGGTGGCACATAAAACGGCACCTTTGAATAAGAGAGGATGATTTTATGCGCGATCAGTACGACATCGTTGTGTTGAATAACGCGACCTGACCGATAGCTGATCATCGGATGCCAAATGGTGAAAACGGATCTTTTGTGCAGGCCAAGAAAAAATGCTTGAAGCGGACTTACTCGACCTGCTGCTTCAAGTGATGGGAAGAAAACATGGAAAAAATGTCTCGAATTGCTTATCGCAACTACATTCTACGACCCCCCCACATTGAATTATCTATCCAACGATGCCAAAACGAATTTTCTGGCTCGAATGGTTCTTGAGAAACTTCGAAAAAAGCAGCGTCATGTTCAAGTGGATTTTGCAACTCAAAAATAAACCACGCAAATCTAAAACTTCTTGAATTCAAGCATTTTTTGAGAAAACTGACAACAATCCCCATCCATGGTTCACTTTCTAAAATTGCCATTTATTTCTCTCTAGAATGATGTACAAATGAGCGTTCTTGCTCATTTTGCCTCCCAGATATGATCAAAAACTACTCGAATTTCCTAAGCTAAAGGGATGATGAATGTTTATAAAATCCGCAGATGTTCGACATTGTTATGCATTTTTGCTTTCAACAACTTCCGGATTGATGGCGTTTTCGGACAATAGCTTACAAAAAACACCATTTTTCTTGCGCCAATGTTTCGACCTCATTTTGCAGCCACCGTGGGGGCTAAAATTAACCTGATGATGATTCCTAGTTAAACAGTTTATGAATGTTTATAAAGTCCGCAGATGTTCGACATTGTTTTGCATTTTTTGTTTGCAACAGTTTTTCAAACTTCCGCATTGGTCAATGGTTTGCGAAAAACACCGTTTCCTCGGAACAACGTTTCGACTACATATTGAAGCCACCGTCGGGGGCTAAAGTTCACGTCATACTAATGTTGCATCGATGTTCCAAATCCAAACAAGAATGGTGACGTTTTCGATCAATGCTTCACGAAGAAAAACCCGTTTTTCTGGCTCTAACTCTTAACGTTCAGCGCCCTGCAGGCTCAAACCTGAGGCCGAAACGTTGGCCCAAGAAAAACAGTGTTTTCCGCAAATCATTGACCGAAAACATCTTTTTCCTGAGTACTTTGACAAGTTCCAGAGTCCTTGGACTGTGTTCGGCATTTCAAGTTTTGAGGAGCACAATTCACCAACTAACCCCAAATACCCCATGTAGCATTATATATCGGGTATATATTTATACAATAGTGGCAGAGCATTTTTATGTTGGGTCAATATTGTCAATTATAAGCCAATATTAGAACAGCTTTTTTGACCAATATTGATGTATCTATACAAATACAATATTGGCAAAATATTTTTAATTTCCAGTATTGCTTGAAGATTAACATGCAATATTTTATAGCAATACTATGCCAAATAAACTTTTTCGATATAATTAATAATCATAGAAAATTGTCTTAGTAGGTAATAATTATTATTAATATCTTACGGTCTGATTTATAATCAAAGTTAAAGTGTTTATTTCTTCAAGTGAATATTTCTATATTGAAAACTGCTTGTCGGATAAACTTTAGCAATCGAACTCGGCTACTATGATTTGAAGTTAGCGTTGTGTACTTATTTGTACCTACCTAAATAGTAAATAGTTACATACTTCGGTGTTTTGTGCAACAATCTGTAACTCAACATATAAGTACATATTATTCTTACATAAATATAGTGATAGGTATCTTTTTGCCTACTCTTTTTAATATAATAAGTTCACAACTATCTACATGCCCTCATGTATATGCATGAGAGGGCATGTATTTGTTGTACAGTTGCTTATAACCCATACAAGCCGTACGTTTATAAAACTCTGAGCTTTATTCGAGTTTTGCTAATTTTGTTAGGTAAAATGAGGGACCATCGTACCAATGCCGGGTCTTAGTTGAACTGCATTGAAACTAGTTACAAACTGTTATTCTAAAGCTTATTAAATATATTTTTTTATATTTAAACTCGCACAATCCTAAAAATAAATAATTGTGTAAGTAAGATTTATTGTATGCTACAATAACGAATGTAATCTAACAACTTACATAGAAAATAAAGTTTAATCTCCATTTTTTAGAGAAATATATCGGATTTTCCCTGGCTAGTGCTGGAGATAGAGGGGGTGGAAGAAAGTCCAGGCCGGTGAGTTTTTTTTTTCGTTTAATAATTCATACAAGTAGACAAATAGCCATTATTTGTTTCGCAATTTTTTAATTAAAATCGGATCATCAGAACTTGTTGAGTTTTTAAAACTTATAACAAGTTGTATTCACTTTTCAATATTGGCTCAATAATTATTAACAATATTGAGCCATCCAGTATGTTGCATATAGCCAATATTGTACGAACATATTTTGCTACCTGCGTGCCAGTTATGCCTGGTTGTTGTTGATGCAATTATTCAGGGAAAAATCCCCAAAAAAACACACACAGACAAAAACAACACAAAGAAACAGGATCAACGATTGAGTCAAATTTATTGCAACTTCAACAGTTTTCAACTCCATCAACTCGAAACCACCAGGGCCCGCATCAACTTACCTATTTTCTTGGCAGGCCTTCTTAAAGTAGATGGTACTCTGATGACGGTGGGCTTGACCAGATAGGTGATACTCCTCTTATGACTCAATCCGGTGGATTTTTTCCGCCTCACCGGCCGTCTGCGCGGCACTGGCGAAACGCCTGGCGGAACGTACACGTTCGCACACTTGCCGTCCGACTCTGAATCACTAGAACTATCACTCATGGCTGACACTAGGGAATCTTCCTCGGAAAAGTCCTCCAAGTTGTTGGTCGACTCGCGATAGTCGCTGCTGGTCTTCCGATACTCCATCAGCTGGTTCTTTGTTTGGTACCTGCGGGTGTCGTCCATGTCGCCTTGGGTGTCCCCGATCGACCTGCAAAACCCGCAGGAAACGGAGCGTGGTTTACATCAGCCCCCCATAGTTCTCACTCACCTGTTCAAGGAGGTTTTCTCCCCGTAAAAGGCATAATCGCCACTCTGCATGGAGGTTTCCGCCTTGAGATGCCTCCTCACCATGCCATAGCCGCTGGAAACGTGGCGCTCCACCTCAATCAGCCTGTTATCGTAGATCTCCAGACGTTTCCTGCTGCCGGCAGTGGGTTGCACCTCCTTTTTCTCCATGGAGAAGCTCTCCAGGTTGATCTCCTCCTCATCGCTCAAGTATTCGTAGTCGCCAGGCAGGCTTTCGTAGAGTCCCTCATCGGTGCTTTCCAAGCTCCGGGTGGTGGAGTACATGCTGGAGTCCAGAGGATTGAAGCTGCGAATCTCCTGCATCTTGCTGCGGAAGGAGGGCTTCTGGGAGCCCCCTTTCCGCTTCTCTGGCGGCACGAAAATCATCGGGTCCAGCTTGAGGGCGCTGATCGCCCTTTGGGGCCTGGAACAGATCACCTGGTAGATGTCGCTTCTGATCGTACCTACAACCCAGCAAACGCTCCTTCATCACACTCGGCTAACCAACCCTAACCACCTACCACTGTCCTTGTCCTTCTTCTTGCTCTTCTTTGCTTTGCCCTTCTTCTTCTTGCTGCTGCGCCGCACCGAACTGCGGCGCGTCTCTATAAACATCGCACTACTAGTCCTCTTAAAGTACCCATCGCGACTGACACTCGGCTTGGGCTTCGGCCGGGATTTCTTCCTGAAGAAGCCCCCCTTCGAGCCGTTGGGCGAGAAGTTCGCATGGAAATCGCTCAGCTTCGGGGCGCTGATCGAGAAACTGAACCCCGAGTCTTTGCTGGAGAACAGCCCGGTTGAAGCTGTGTTGTTGCTGGTCGAACTCAACGTCCTGGTGACCGGCGGGGTGGACCGTTTCTGCAGCCGATTGGACACCATCGGATCATCGCGCAGATCCTTGAGGGCGCTGTCCAAAGAGTGGTGGGCCGGAGGCGGGTTTGAGGAGGAGGACTTGGGCATCTCCAGGCTTCTGGGCGTCATCGCTTGCGGCGCGTCCATCCAGATGCGGCCCAGACTGATGGAGAGTGAGCACATTTCTTCGGTGCCGGAGTCGCAGGGAAGCAGCGGCGCGGGACTATGCCTGGACCGTCTTCGGATCAACGGGCTCTTCTTCACCTCGGTAGAATCGCCCCAAGGGAACATTTCCACTGCCGAGTCGTTGCTCTCGGCTCTTTGCAGGTTGGTGGTGGGACTGTGGCAAATGTGGGTGGACGATGTGTTGTTCTTCCTGAAGACTGGCGAAGAGGACAGCTGGCGGATGACTGGCGTTTGGGGTTTTTCATCGGAAGCTGGCACATAGATGATGGTGCGCTCCGAGCCCTTGATGGGCCGACTGGCTGGGGCTTCTTCCCGTTTGATCTCCTGCAGCCACTGGCTGTAGACCACCACACTGTTGCCCGATGAGACACTTTTCGTGTCTGCCGGCTGCGGTTTTTTGTAGTTGTTGCACACAATTTCCTTGCCCGACTTGATGGTGGCCGTTAGATCCCCTTTGTTCACCTGCACCGACGTGTCCACCTTCTTCACAGTCTCCTCCGGTATCTGAGCCAGCAGCTCCTCCTCAGACACCGTCTGCGTGGCCACCTCCAGCTTGGGAACCACCTTCCGCTTCCCCCGATCCAAGTAGCTCTTCCTGATCGAGATCCTCTTGAACGAGTCGCTGCGCTTAAACGAAGATCCATCATTGTCCTTCTTCTTTCGGCCGCCGCCCATCAAACGGCGCAGGTTTTCGAAAGTGATTGGCTTCATATCGGGCCGACTAATCGGATGCAAATTCACCTGTTTAAATGCGATGGTGGTGTGTTATTGACTTCGATTAAAGTCTTCATTTTGACTGGCGATTTGCACGAATTGACTGTTCAAATCAGCCAAATCAACAAATTCTTTGGCGCGTGCCGGCGTAGTGGACTGAAGAAGCGCGCATGCTGCTGAGCCTAAAAGAAATCGATTACTTTATCGCACTCGGACCTAGAGGGTTGAGCTTGCGTTGAGTTTGGTCGGATGTAGGTATCTTCGATTTCAGAGGTTGGGCTCATAATATGCAAACATTGTTGGCTGAATATCGGTCACTTACGCTCCAAAACGATTGAAAATGGACAGAAAATGTTGATTATTTCGGATCTGAAGAGTCCAGTGTGTTTTTAAGGGTTTCCTTGCATTCCTCGACTCTTTCCGGTGACAATGATGAAAAAATCGAGACATTTTGAGAGATTTTATATTTTTCAAAAAAATCAACCCTCCCCCCTTACGAAACTTTCGATCAAAAATCAAAATTTCACAACCGTGTTTTTTGCGCTCATTGGATTCTTTGCGACCTCAGAAGCTCCTTAATGTGCAAATTTCAAGTTTTTGAGTCCTGAATAGGGAAGAAATCGTCGGTTGAAAATCGCTTCCGCTCAAAAACGACTCAAAATGGACAGAAAATGTTGATTATTTCGGATCTGGCAAGTCGAGCGTGTTTTTCAGTATAAGGGCTATTTCGCAGAATTTTCCGGCGGAACCAAATTAAATGCACACGGGGCTGATATTTGCATTCGTGATGGGGGCTGTTTGTCTTTTCAGACTGCATTACGGGCCAATGTGTTTCCTGCGGGGAAGTAAATCTCTTTCCCGGAAAATTGGATCCATTTTGATTAGGTAGTTAGACGGATACGAGATGGCATTTTTGGGGCGGGCCCGGGCGAGTTCCATTCATTGTGAGCAGAATATTGCAGCAATAATAGAAACAAGTTTGTCTGCAGGCGCAATATTTGCCGCATTCATAGACACCATTGAGTAACAAATTTGCCTAGAAGCCAAGCGCTATGCAGAACTAATCTGAAATTGGGTGGCATCATTTTATATCACTTTAACATTTTCTGGGAGAATTAGAAACTTTTACACGTGCTCTAATCTGCTATGGCAAAATGCGCGAATTTTTATGTTTCACCTTATGGAAAAGTGTCACATTCCCGGATGGTACCTTTTTAACTCGATATCGCACTCATTAATGCGATCAATCGCCCAGTTATAGAGTATTGATAACTTGGTTAAACATGTTGAAAAATCGATTAGGTAAAGAACACCCTACATCCCTAGTGGCTTAATAATGGTAACGTAAGTGCAATCGGCACGAAAACACTCACGTTATAATGAGGATTTATCTCTCAGTACATACAGTTTCGATTACAACTATGCGTTGGCATATATCTGGAAAAATTGGCGCATCAAACAATACGGTAAAAAGCAGCCCGTTAGGCCTTTAGAGTAACAAATGAGCCACGAGTTGGAACTTCTGAATATTCAACTCATTATACTCTTAATTGCCGTATAATTACGAGGCAAACGGAAAAAGGAGATAAATTATTGCAAAAAAACTCTCACGAATGCAAGGTCGTTACTGTTCAAGTGCGAATTAGGTGTTTCGACCTTTGGTTTCATTCGCGTGTTTAGGTTTTACCGATTATCGGAGAATTTCCAATTTTAATCATATTCATTCAAACGACAGAATTTTTTCAAAAGAATCCCACTTGCACAAACAATTTTACTTAGTCAGAATGCGGGTTCTAAAACACATCACTTTGTCAGCGATACGTTTTCAAGATCCACTCTTAAGCTCATTAAAACCGAGTATTTCATTCACCGAATTCATGGAGGTAAAAGTTTAACGACTTTCGAAAACCTGATGAATAACCACATTGTGTGGCAATTCCAAAGAGGATAAATTAGCCTTTTCCCAATTAAACCATGAGCTTTAATACCATAACGGCATTAAGGGATTAAACATTTTATACGATGCTAAAAATAAAAACTGTCAACGTTTTTGTACGAAAGCTCATATTAGACCGAACTTAGTGGAAAAAAACGTTCCTGACGTTTCACAAGCACGAGTGGTAAGCATCTTCAGAGGTGTGCCCCAAGTGACTTTAATGTGAAAGGAAYTATTTTCAYTGASTKAGTTCKGCCCAGGGTTGCAAGCCAAGCATCAGGACAACGCCCTATTTTTTTAAAATTTGTATATCGTTTATTTCGTAACGTTTCGGCGAGACAACAGCGCCATCATCAGATTTGAAAATTCATTCAAACCCATAATTGGGAAACATTATATTCATTTAGGTCTTTGCTGTCTTGAACCTTCAATTTGTTTTGTCCAAACAAATTGAACGAGATAATAACAATTACATGCAGTCAGGAAAATAAATCAAAATAAACATTTCCCACAATTCGACATGGAAAAGTAGTGAAGAGGAAAAAGCTCTTAACTACCTCGTTGCTGTCTTATTTCGTTAGGATGTATAAAAGGTAGAAACTCTTAAACTGTTGGACTGCGGTCAATTTTCGTTAAAAATTTAAGAAATTACCGCAACGCGCCGGCAACTCGAACCGCCCAAAATAAAATTTTAAAACACTCGGCCGCTACTTTACAATTAGAAAGTTAAATCCCATTTATTAAATATTTCATGTTCGACTTGAGAACCCATAAGTCCTGCTTGGAACGAGCCGAGAACGAATTTAGTTGTCGGTTCAAAAGTTAATAAAAATGATAAACTATTCAAAGTGCCATTGGAAAATATTCAAATGGAAATTTGTAAATGACTGATTTACACATCGAGTGGAACATGGGCGCTCAAAAGCACCATTGTTTTGCCTCTAAATAAGGCTCAGTAACATTCATTGGCTAAATGTTTACTCTTTCAACTATTCGACCGTAAAAGGCACCAGCAATGCGATGCCTGTGAGTTATAAACCCATTGAGATTTATTTATTTCTTAACCGTTCAAAGGCGAGTAATTGCATTAAATAATGGAAGAACATAAATAAAATCAATAGACCTCGTTTGTGTTATTCAATAAAGTGTTTTCATTGCATCAAACATTTCTACAAACTGAACATTAATCTATGGTAATATATATATATCGAAGAGTAAATAAGTTTATACTATCTACCTATTGCTATTTTGTTAAATATTTAATAAACAAATTCAGCCAAAAATTCAAATTATTCATGAATCTCCAAAACGCAATCCTATTGGTTGTGACGTCTCTGGTCATATAAATGGCGGATTGTTTACGTTCTGTGCATAGTGTTTCATTAATTATTGTGTGGATTTAAATAATTTATAGTTTGTGTTAAACTAAAAAATGGCTTCAGAAGGATTCCCTAAAGCGTCAACAAACAATTTACCATGTGGACATATTTTTATGGTTACCGAAGTTTTAAAAAACGACGAACGCTTTAATTCAGCCGTATTTAAGGGTGTGAAAGCAGCAGCGTAAGTGAAAATCCGTAAATTCATTATTAGTTACTCTCTACTTAATATACTAATCTGTCTGTGTTGGTTTAAATTAGGTAAATAATATATAGAATTTCACTTGTTCAACTTAACCTAACCTATACACATGGCTGCTTTAAACGTAAAATGAACTCTTAAATTGTATTTTGGGCATCACGAGAGCAATATGGTGATATCGGATATGTCGAATTGAAACGCGAGGGTTCTTTGTGCATTTTACAACGTAGAATTTGCCCAGAACACAGAGTACGATCGAAGGCATATTCTATCTGCCTCATCGTTAGCTTTTTGTTCGTACTTTCATAAAAATGATCCTCGCAAGAAAAAAACATTTATTTTGATTTAGGAACATCACGTCTAGCTGCTTTGAACCCTAAAACTTTACGTGCATAATCATGGGGAACGGTTGGAAAGAGTTTGTTTGGAGCACTTATTGAGGCATCCTGGCACAAAACACCACTTATTTTGTGATCCATACATGTCACTATTTTCCATTAAGCAAGATAATAATAATAATCAATAAAATAATGATAATCACAATAACTAAAATAATAAAACAACAACATAAACACGAGACACTTTGTTGATATGACCTGCTACGTCACAACCGGGATAGGCAACCGACGATACGGATTCGGCGTTTTTGGCGGAAAACATCTGATTTGAATTTAAATTCGCTTTAAAACTATTATGGAGACTTTTTTTGCAAAAAAATTACATCAGTGTAATGTTTGCCATAACTACTTTGTATATATCAACATTAAAAAAAAGGTGAAAACCCCCTATTGAAATGGAAGAAAGAAGACGCACTCAACCCAAGCGCCATCCTAATGGAAATGAGTGAAACAGCAGTGTTTCAAAGCGCTTAAATTGCTGGAATGGAAAGTAACATTACTCCTGCAGCTCCATTTCCCTACATTTTACTGCCGGGATTAATGAATGCAATTTGGATAACTCAGTGCTACAATTTAAATGTGCAGCGTGAAGAAGAATGCGCCATGTGATGAAAGCATATAATATTTCCTCAACTTTCCATACACGGAGCTGATTGCAGGGAGTATAACTTCTCCTCGCCACTACGCTAGAACAGACGGAAAAAACGGGATAATCGGAATGAAATTTATTCTCTTCGCGTTTACGTAGCAATTTCACGCTTGAAAAAGCCTGATCTTGACCAGCCGATTAATATTTGCAATAAAAACCCAAAGAAGATTGGTTAAAAGGTCAAATACCCAGCTGGAATCTTCTTCAAGTGAACCAAAAAAAAACTGAAACTTGTTGTGGCCAATCAAGCAATCGCAAAATCCTTTTGCGCAACAGTTTATAACCGGAACACGGTTTTTTTTAATGAAATTATGAAATTCAGCTTCGGCCCGTCTAAATGGAGCCGCTGTTTTTACGCAATTTTCGCTCAAAACGTGCCGTTGACAAAAAAACAGTTACTCCAATAAATAATCAGCCCATCAGTGTATTTTTAACGATCAATCCCAGAAAACATTCGGGATAAAAATGCCAATTTACCGATTCCATTGTGGCAAAAATGCGCGCCCCATTCCGAACAGGGATTTTTAAAGCTAAAAATAGGCTTCATTGTTTATCCAAACATGAATATCGATTCAATATGGCAAAGGTGGGCGAACTGTCTGCATAAAGCGGGCAAAA